TGCGCAGAATTCAAAAAAATCATAAGAAACCAATCAAGGCCAAGGCCATAATTTTTAAGGCCAAGGCCATAATTTTCAAGGCCAAGACCAAGGCCATGGCCTCAATTTTTGGCCTTAAAGCCAGACCAAGGCCAAGGAATAAAAATTCTGATAATAGGTCGCTAAAAGTTTTGTACATTTTGCAATCAATTTCGACTAAATATCGCACAATTCTGAACCAATCTGCGTTTACTGGTTGTTGCTGGTCTTCGTCTAAAATTTCAGACAACAAACAACCTTTCTTCAAAAAAAAAAATTCAGTTGTAAAAAATGTTTTTGATTTAAATACGTAAGAAATCATTTTTGTGCTTTGCCTGTCCCCTTACCTCCCAAATATACACAGCATGTATTCAAATGGGTAGGACTGACCATTACCGTCGTCTTTTGCAAAAATAAGTTTTTAGTTTTTAAGCAAGTTATCAAATGATAGAATGATCCTAATAGTCATAATTTGAAGTCTTTGAATAGTTTTTTAAATAAAAAAACATCACTAAAATAAGCTTCTTTTTTAATTATGAAAAAAACTATTTTTAATTATGGTTAAAGATTTTTGTAATCATTTATAAATCATGGTCCATAACTATTATTTTAGATATAACAAATTTCAATCATGTTAAAAATCTTATTGTTTAAACTGTAGAAAGAAATAGTTTTATTAAAATTTGTTCAAATTTCGTCAATGTGAAACATGATAAAGGAATATTATGGTAAAATAAACTGCTGATTATTAAAAATATCAACGCATTCTTGATTTTTTCACATCTAATGCCTTTATCTGATCTTATTATTTTTATAGTTTTCAATCTTGCTTCTAACCAATTCAAAGCAGATTTATCTTACTTCTAACCAATACAAAGCAGATATATCTTGTTTCTAACCAATGCAAAGCAGATATATCAGAACTATTATTATTCATCACAAAAGGTTCGTCTCCTAGTCGCAAGAAATTGATTTTTTTACAATACTTTAATTGAGTCATTTAACAGAAGTTAAGTTTATTAAAGTTTTTTTTTCAAGTTGATTAATTAGTTTGTTGACTATTTATTAATAGTTTGATCCTCGCCAAGTTGTTATTAGTATCGCGCTCAACTAATAAGCACAACTGCTCTGTTTGTTAATCATTGTGTTTTAGAGTAATATTCAAGAAGAAACAAGCAATAGTTAAAAAGAAAAAGAGTAGCCTTCTCATCAGTAGTACTTTAGAGATGTAAATGGAAAATTTCTATTAAATCTAGATTAACCTGTCTACACCCAAACTTTCAGTATATGTATGTACTGCAACCTCTGCAGAGACTATTTTAGTATGACGCACCAATATGGTTAAATATTTGCACGAAAGAATATATATATATATATATATATATATATATATATATATATATATATATATATATATATATATATATATATATATATATATATATATATATATATATTATATGTATTTTATATAAATATATGTATTTTATATAAATATATGTATTTTATATAAATATATGTATTTTATATAAATATATGTATATTATATAAATATATGTAATATATGTATATGGTATAAAGGTATATGTATATTGTATAAATATATATAATATAGACAATATACATTGCACCATCGTTATCACTAATATTACATTCATCATCATAATTTAATAGTTTATTTATTCACTTTTATTACAAAAAAAAGCTACATGAAAACTTGATCATACATTATTGTGAGTGAAACTAGCATTTTAAATGTAAGAATAAGTACATAATATGCTTTGATTATGAAAAATAAAGCGATGACGTATTCAAATGTCTTATTTTAAATTTAGAAAATGCAGTTTGACAGACAAAAAAGATTTGGAGATCAAGAAAAATCAAACTTTAGTATCATCAAATAAAAATGTTGAGCTTTAACCTTTTAATGTTATTAAAATTATAGTCTTGTAAACACAGTATGTATTATATGTTATATGTCTACTCTGAAGAACTTTTATTAAAATACAAATTATTTATTAATTTATATTGTATAGCTAAACTGATGGAGATATTATAGTTTAAAATAGTCTACATTCTATTTTTTTACTGTATCCTTTTTTAGGTTGGTAAACGTCAACTTATTTCAACTAATTCTTTCTGCATTTTTTTAAGTCTTCCTTTTAAGTTGAATTCTCTAATTTGTTTTATTATTAAAAACAACGTGAAAAACAAGCAAAATGAACTAAAAGTAACGTAAAAATGAGCAATAGCTAAGTGCCGGCCAAAAAATGGCTGACATGCAAAAACCATGCATTAAAAACTGCGCGGTTTTATCCGAGAGATGCGAACAAAGAGAACTTCATTGAAGAAGTTTGCCGTTTTAACAATGCCCGCAAAATAGTTATCAAGCAAGGAAATCCACTGCAGCTACTCAATCAGATCTTTGAAAAGAAGTTTGAACGCCTTTTTCCGTACATTTGCATCACGCTACGGATTTTCA